ATTGCCCCCACAGATCCCAAGCTAAATAAACTCTCATACTTTGTTGCAAAAAGTGTGGTTATTAGAGTCTCAAGTTTTATCCCACCTCTACATCTGAGCAAATAAGGAAGCAGTGTAAACCCTGAGCACTTTCGGTAATGTCACAGAAACAGCCCTGGTTACACTACTTGAGCAAAGAGCCTTTTTCTTGTCTTATCTTCTCTTGTCAAGAGTCTTGAAGAGTATCATGTGATCCGGTTTTAACGTTTTTCGGTTGGAATGGATTGCCCAATCTTTTTGCTTATGATGATAGTAAATAAGCACACAATTTCAAGTAGCCATACTTATATGATGTGAAAGTTCATGGCATATATCTAACTGTGATTTAGACCGGACGCTGGTAGTGGTTGTTTGAGTATTCTACTATTTTATTACATTCCAAAGTTCATGTTTTGCTTTGTTTGATTTTACTTAGGATTCTTATGTACTTTTATCCTTTCCTTTAAGAAACTATTAGTGAATTCGCCAATTTGTCACTTCAAATTGCGGCAACTTCTGTCACTTTACCAGAAGTCTCTGAGAATCCCAGTAAGTTAAATATCAATATAAGTCGTACAAGTATGCGATTTCAGTTGTAGTTTTTTGCACTAGTTAAAGTAAGACGGATAATGTGGCGTTGTCTAGCTAATTGTACCTTTGATTTTGGTACTTTTTACAAGCCTTGTTGCGAACATTTCAAACCTGCCAGATGAAGTGCTTGCGATTTCAACAATTTTTTCTCTAACCTCATAGATTCATGAGAATACCATTTTTGTTTGTTTCCAAAATGTGGACATCTAAGCCTATATTTATGAAAGGGAAAAATTAAACCAAATTTATCGGGCTATCAGTTTAAAAATAAACTACACGAGTTCATATCCAGGGCTTAGCAGTAGCGTACGCTATTGAGATGTCATGGAACTGGATAAATCTAGTATGATCTTGCATTTAGAAAACGCGTGCGACAATCTTTCTACTTGTCAGACTTCAGAGAATACGTCCACCTTTTTGCCAGAATCACTCGAGGATACTGGTTAGTGCTTCTCTGTTCGTTTATGTTTATTTTGTTCAAATGTTTTCTAATGACCATTATGGTAACCAAGTCTCTAGTTACATAATGAACTTTATTCTCTCTCTCTCCCTCTCTTCCATCTAACTCCATTGTTTTTTTAATACCCTTTTAATTAGTTCAAGTATCTGAGAACCTACAAGCATCAGATAGCAATAATGAGAATGACAGATACTTGGTCTCCATTATTGTCACCTTTGCATTATTTTTTTCCAGAGCCTGCAATCGAAAATCAGCTTTCCCATGTGGAAACCGGCACGATAGATCAAATAGATTCGTCCCATCCGCCAACTGCTGCACCCGAATCCCTCGAAAATCCCCGTAAGCATTTTTTCTACCATTTTGATTTTCCAAATTGTTTAAGCTATTTCTTATGTAAGTTAAATTAAAAATTTCCCTATTTTTTGAGTATATGATATGAAGAAACCCAGCATGCTTTAATTTTGTTTATTTATATTCCGTATTTTAGTGTCGTTCGGCAGTCTTGAGTTAACTACTTCCGAAGGTACGACATCAAATCTATCACCGGTATGTTTGATCTTTCCGCTAAAATTATATAAGCAAGCTTATATTTATCGAAAATAAGTAATTGTTTTAAACATTACTTATTTTTTCCCTTCAGATTTCAACAATTTTAATAAAAGACTTTGAAATTGTAGTAAAAAAGCAGTCGCAGAAAAGACCTTTTTTAATATTCTTATGAGTTTCGTTAATTCAATTAACTTAAGTTATCTGTTTTAAAATGATCCTGATAACTCTCTTTGTTATTAATCTATTGATTATTATCAATTCTTAGGTTGAAATGGTTGAATATAGTATTCCGATTCAGGTGCTTTATCCAGTTTCCGATGCTACTTGTGAAACATTTCAACCAAGTAAGTCAATTTCGATTAGCGAAGTTTCTATTTTTAATTATATTGACTATCCTTAACCGAGTTTTACTAACGTTTTAGGTCAATCGTTGTATATGGGCTCTCTGAATACTACAACTCAAGTTACTGTAAGTAAACTATGAAAATATTGTGCACCTATTCGTGTTTGTTTCTATAGTTTAATGTTTTTTTTTTTGCTTTTTAGGAATCAGATGCCTCCTTTCAAATTATCAACTTGAATAATCCCGAATTAGAACAGTTTCCTACAGAATCGTCCCCTGGTGGGTTTCTTCCTCGGTTTGTTATCTCTTTCGGGTAACTTGTTTTAACTCTTGTCTCTTCTTGCTTTCTGTAGCAGGGTCTCCAGATCTCCCGAAATCTCGTCTGTTGCAACATATCATGACAATGAAACAGAATGTAGGGGAAAGTATTTCCTCTTCTTTTCATTCTCAAATTCCTTCCAATTCCAATGTTCCTGTGACTTCAGTTCAACCATCTGGGTAAATATTGATTTATATCAAATGGCAGGCGTTCTGATAGTTATCATTAGCCCTTTAGTTGACTTCAGGCTTCACAGAGGGGAAGGAACATCAAAGTGAAATAAAGTCGAGAGAGGGTGGAGGGGGGGAGGGAACAGAAGAGTGTTTCAAAGATGTAAAAGAGACAGACACAGAGGTAGAAAAAAGATGAGATGGGTACTGTGAAAGTACTTGAACACGCTTCACAGAGAGGAAGAGAAACATTAAAGTGAGAAAAATTCGACAGTGGAAAGAGCGATTCACAGATGTAAAAGAGACAGACAGACACAAAGGCAGAGTTAAGGCCAGATGAGTTTTGTGGAAGCGGTCGAATATGACATGCAGTTGGGTGATGGTAGGTTGAAGTAAGAAGTCAACTGCCGATTAAAAGACTTTTTTGCCGCATGAGTATACGTTGCCCAGCATGCACCATGTGGAGGTAAGTCTACCACACACCCCATCTGGGTAAATATATATATATATATATATATTTTTAATTTTTAGTTAGTTGTATGCGGAAGCTGGAAATTAAGATCAGATGAGGTTTGTGTCAAAATATAGGTGCCGAGTAAGAGACTCGGAGTGTTTACTTGTAATTGGACTGGATGATTTCTCCTTCTTCTTCTTCTTCTTCTCAGTTTTGGCTTAGGATCATTAATTTAGTTATACAGCACGTTAGAAGTAATGTGTGGTATTCAGAGCATCATACGCAGGGAGACCACGTCTTGATTTGAAAGATTGTTACACATTTTGGAAAAGTCAGAGAGTTTGATCAGGTCAGAATTCTGGCATCCAGACGTCACAACTCGTGGGGAAAAATTGCACTGAATACCCCTTTTGTAAATAGGCTATCCACTTCTCTTATCATGCATATTTGGGTGGTCAACTGAGAATGCTACAAAATCCATGTGGAGAGGTTTGTCGAGGCGGATTGGCATGGACTTAAATGAAATTAGTGAATCTATGCGTTTGTAGCTCAGCTGTCAACTCATAGATACCCTTGCTCTTCCTTCTAATTTCCATTCGAGCCATGTTTTGGCTACCATCCAATATTTAATACTTATGCCGTTGCTTTTCTTTTTTCCAATGGGAGTACAGATAACGCACTAATTATTTAACCTCGTTCTATATACTAAGCTAAATAAGCGAGGTCTATTCTCTGTACCTATAATCGTATAGAAACCGTACAAGATACAAATGCACATATTTTAGCTCTTGAAATGCCTTATGAGTGATCTTTTGCCTTTTAACCCACTATAAATAGTACTGGTAGTTTCACGATAATTCTAGGTGTGTTTTGGTTGTTAATCATCAACGTAGTATATTTTAATTTCTTCGAATGCATTAAATATGATTAACTAAAAGTTTCCCCCCTCATTTCTAGCGGGACTTCAATGCAGTCTCCACGCTTAATCCTTAGAGTACCCAAGGATATGGTTAATGGGTGAGTGCCTTGAAGCAGCTGCTTGTTATATTGATATTGACCCTTTTTATTATTTTTTCTTGCGATTACCATCAGGGCACAGTTATTCTTTATTAAAACCAAATGCCTTTATTTTAACTGGATCTCAGAAAGAATCCAAGCGAGTGAATATATACGCTCTAGATTCATATACCTTCTTTCATGTTGTTTTAATTATTTTAAATTTGTTATTTATATTATATTACTAATAAGTGGCACATGCTTATTCAAGGTGCAGCGAAATGTCTCCACAGGAGTTATTAGTGTGGGCACTTCAGCGCCAACTTGCAATGCCAACATCCACTCAAATACAACAGGAACAGGCTACATCTACAGTTTCGACACAGGTTCTTCAGGAACAGCAGAATTCTTCAACACCGGTGCCGATTCGACAAATAGCGTCTTCACAGATTCTATCCAGTGTAAAAGAAAACCTGCTTCCTTCGCCTAAGAGTGAAAATAGGGTTAGTGATTTATATTCAAATAGCTTTAAGATATCTGCTCGATTATCTGTATTATGTTTTCTTCCAATTTAGAATGGTGGCGCAATGAATGCTGATCTCGATTTGATTCAGAAGAATGTCCGTAATCAGCCTCAAAAGAATTAGTATTCGGATTAAAATCCGTCTTCTCACGGATCTTACCTCTTTATGTGTTGAGTAAATCGATCTCAGCTTGATTGGCTGCTTGTTGTATATATGTAGCAAAATTTGTAAATAATCAATCTTATTTTAATTACAATATAAGCTCACATGCTGGAATTGGTTGTTATTTATTAAATAGCAGTATTTTTGCTCTGGGTGAACAAAATAGGGTATTGTGGGTATACCTTATCGAGGGGGCATATGGACAAATATGAAGGTAGAATAATCGCGATTCATTTACCACAAATAGCATAAAAATAAAAGGTTAATGAAAATATTTCATTCAGAAAAAATAATATTTTATTTATTTGAATACTAGATTAAAGAAATGCACTTAACTGTTCTTAGACTTAAATTTCTTATAATTATTTTACTAAGCTAATTCAAAGTTACTTCTTTTGATTTGCTATTTATTAGAATTGTGGTCGCATTAACCAGTTTGACCATTGGTTAAAATTCTTTTTATGCAACAATGGGAGATGTATGAATATTTTTAGTCCAAAATATTTAAACTAGGATTACACAAATATGAACTACACATCGGATTTTGAATCTGATCTTCAGAGCGAAGTTGCATCAGTCTGTTCTTCCAGGTGCATGAATTCACTTTCAATATTAAACTTGATATTTTTCAAATATTTTACTGTATGGCAGGACTGAAGATGGTTTTATGTCTGCACGTGCGGATGGAAAAAGAACTCTTAATCCTGATTCTGAAATTTGTCCAGTAGCAAAGAAGCGGTAGGATTTTGAAATAATAAATTTTATTTTTCATTTATACAGTCCAACTCCATCTCAAATGATGCCTCTAGACGCTGTAAGTTTTGCTTTTTTTATCCATTCTTGTTTTAGTACCAAAGGCATCAGAAAATGGTTAACGATTATCTACAATATTATGGAGGATCTATTAAACATTTCAAACGTGATACGTGGGTGGTGTTAAAATTATATTTGCCTTTTAGTTCGAATGATAAACGTGATATTGACGTAATCAAAGAAAATAGTCGGTTTGTTTGGGAAGAGAAAGATAACCCCGAAACATGGTAAGTGATATTTATTGATCTCATTTTGTTGATTTTCAATAGGGAGGAAAAATTAGCCAAACATTATTGGGATCGCTTGTACAAGGAGTATGCAGTAGCTGATTTGAGTAGATATAAGGAAAAGAAACTTGGTCTTCGCTGGCGTTCGGAAAAAGAAGTTATTTCGGGCAAGGGACAATTTAAATGCGGAGCGGTGGATTGTAACTCTGTCGAGTTTCTACGATCCTGGGAGGTGGATTTTGCTTACAGAGAAAGAGGGTTAAAACGAAATGTTTTGGTGAAGGTACGCCTCTGTCCAATGTGTTCTGCGAAGCTCAATTACCATAAACGGTATGGTTTTTTCTGTTTATCTAGGAGCTAGTGAATTACACAACGCATAGCTTTAGGATATTCAATACCTAACTATTCAAACGCTTGTCATAACTGTTTTTCAATTTTTTCTTAAAGAACACCATGAGCTAATTTGCGCTCATATCTTAATCTGTCCAATTAGAAACAGTGTGCTTAGATAAATCAGTTTCTAACTTTCCTGTAGAATTGTGGCATGCGTCTTCGCAGCCATCCATATCTTTTACCATGACAATCATCTTTGATCTCATGGTCAGACCTACACGTTTGTATGCGTTGTTTTTTATTATTGACGGTCTTGTTATGAGAATAACACTTTATTTTTTGTGCAAGAATTTACGTGTGGATCCGCCCATTGCAATTTTTACCATTATATAATTTCGATTTTCTTTGAATAGGCATTCCGAGTTCCTTTCACAACCCCAGATCAGGAAGGAGGAAAGTGATTCGAAAGCTGGAAAGAAGGCTGAAGAACCTGACAAACCCCCAAAGCAGGCTGCTGGTAGTGAGGTATGGAAGGAATCTTCTTCTGTCCAGAAAGATGACTCTTCCAGGAGAACTTTAGAAGATGAGTTTGACGATTATCTGAGAAGCATGTTTATGTGATTACCTCAAAAGAGTAACATTTGTAAATAAATATTGTTCATTTAAATCAGTCTTCCTACGCTATTTTCCTTTTGACAGGGTTATTTCCGGTATGATTTATATTTTAAAACCAGAAACAACGAGCAATAAACTTTATGCCGATATGGGGTTGGATGTGCTACAGGTTAATAGTACGTTTTGAAAAGAAAAATGGTGTGGGTAAAGATAAATGGGCCAAAAGTAATAGTTTTTTAACATTAATGTGAGGGGAAATTGTCGACATAACCATGGCCCTGATTCAAATGTTCACTTCCTACGGAATCACGTAAATTCCATTTTAGATACTTCTAGTTAATTGAGGCAATGGTGATTTGGGTAACATGTTTGTAATTTAAGTGACTGACGTATTGCGATATATAATATGCATGTAAGGGATAGGATACGCTTCGATATTCTTTCGTAATCAGTATAAAGCAAGAGACTATGTTGTAAATGCAAATGTGACAATTTTGACTGCAATTAAATGCAAAACAATACATACTAGAGGTCAATCCCATAATGCAGGAATGGGAGAGTCCAGTAATTGTAAGGATTTGACAACTGAGACCGATAGACGAGCGTTTAAAAATATAAATATAAGCATATTATACAATCACTAACTTTGACTTCACTAGCTTTCGAGAAGGCAATATTGGTTTTAATGAGCATCAAAGACTTAGAGGTGCTGTTCAGCAAAAAAGGTAGAACTAGACGGAACTTTTTCATCTATAAAGGCTTAGAGAGAAGTATATAAAAATAATGAACACTAAACAGGCGGGTTTTAAAGGATATTAAATAAAATAGTATATTCAAGTTTAGGCTACAAAAAGATCCTATCTTTTTCTTAATCAAAATTTGTAGATTGAGACGGAAATATGAATAGAATTTTGAGTTATCGGTTAAATTTGATAGACAACATTTATTTGACTTGTTTAAACGTCGTTGGTATGCGAAATAACAGAAGTTAAGTATTAATATTTTTAATTAAATTGGGAGTTGAAGGAGTTCGACAATTGCCCATAATTATAACAGTCAATATTTTAAACCAATATGGAGACATTGCCATTCAAATACACTTTTGCTCTGAATACAAGCTGAATTATTATTATTGTTATAGAATTCTGATGATAAGAAAGGTTTTCTAAGCCACTAAATAAGTCTGCAAAAGTATAGGAAATGCTGAGATGTCTTAATATTTTTATAAATAGAAGTGCATATATAAAGGTCATTTTCTCTTCTTACTCTGATTTGTAGATACTTAATATATTTGAAAATCATAGCCGTATTTGTTTGAAATAATCGCGGACACCCGCTCTTTGCGGAACTCGGACATCTTTGTGAAAATGCAGTCTATTTTGCGCTATGGAGAAAAACCTATTGAGTTTCAACTAGAAACTGATGGAGAGTTCTATTATTTGGCGTCTGATGTAAGAGTTTTTTACTTTTTCGTTATTGGGTTTGAGTAGGTTGGCCGATATCTTCGTTTGTTCCGTGGCGAATTACATAAGCGATATCCGAACTTATGGAAACGTCTAACGACACAAGAAGAACGTGAGAAGCTTATCGACATGGGTAAGACTTAAAGCTTTGCTGTTCATTTATTATTAGGACTTGCAACACACGTTACTGCACAGAATGCAACAATACTTCGAGCAATTGAAGTTGATGAGCTCATTGGTGGAGGGGAGGATCGTTTCAAGTCTTTTGAGGTTCGCAACTTTATGTTAAATTCTCGTTTTTGTTCAAATGAAAATATGCTTTTAAAGTCTTAGGACTAAGATATTTAAGTTGGAAAAAATAAGTCTTTTTATGACCTTTTTTCTGCTTGTTTATATTTTCGCTCTTAATATTCCTCTGAAAAATATCTTTCTGATGGGAATAAGTCTTTCATGAGTTTGTTGTCCGTTACTTTATGCTGTTAATTCCCATCCAAATTTTGTATGTTATATATTAGCCATTGTCACCTTTCATATCTTTTCTCGCAATAATCTTGGATTTAACTCACCTTCCAGTCCCGGAGAGTGGTGTGTACGACATCATGTGTGAGTGTATGGTCTCTTGAAATGGTTTTTATAGCTTTGATCTGAATACGAATAGTCGGTATTTTATTTGTCTTTCATCACTGGAGGATTTATGCAATTCAATTGGCGTTGATAGATATCTCAGCTTTGCTTACAAATTGCGCCTTTCATTTTCAATGAATAAGCTAACTGCCTTTGATGATTAAGTTCCCTTATTAGTTATTGTTTTTTATCACTCCCAGAGCACTCTGAATGGTTCAGCGGCTCCCAGTGCTGTCCGCCCCGGTTTAACAGCAAATGCATCGTCCGGTTCCCTTACCAGTGGTGCTTTCGGCCAATCCGCTCCAGCTGCTTTAGGCTCAACAGGCACAGCCGCCGGAGGTATAATTGAAACGGCTGGCCAATCAGCAAGTGGTGCGATTATCAAACCTACCACTGGTAGTGCCGGCGGGGGTGGAAGTGGGAGCAGTTCTCGTGGTTCGACCTCGGCAGCCACGGTTGCTGGTCGATGGGTGAGCTCTGTGCCTAATACTTCTTTCCATTTGGATTCTGTTCCCTGTCCGACCCCGATTGGTGCTGGAGCTAGCGCGACTCGATCAAGACCAAGTAAATCTCCTTTTTTATTTTCTCAATTGATGTCATCGCTTTGGAGTTGTAAACCATGAGAATCTCGTTAAACTGTCATCCCCGGATTTCTCATACGTTTTATTGGGTTTTGTCGATTTTTACAATGTTTCTGCTAGAATATGATCACAATTTTATTGATAAATTCGACTATTACTTTCTTATTTGGCTGATTTAGTTTGGATTTTGAGTTTATACGTTTTGAGCCACTAATTACCAAAATAAATCGGCCAAATTGTTATTTCTTGTGCTCGTTGGCCATGGCCCAATGAACAGCTGACAACTGCGTTCAGTACAAACTCAGAGCCTTATTATTTAAATATTTTTTAACTAATCCCATATCAATAATTTTCTTTCGTTGTACCATGTTTAAACTTTGAAATAGCTCTGACCTTGTGCGTATTGCATTTATAAAGTCTATTATTGCTTGACATGTTTTTGTTTTTTAAGTTGTTCCCAAACTTGTACCAGTGTTAATGCCGCACTTGACATTGATTTTAAGATATTTATGCATATTGTTATGTCACCACTAACTGCTTATGAACGTCCGGTTAATTGAATTTCATTTGCGTCGGTGATGCAGCTTTTAACATACTCATCTACGAAATTATGTGTCGTGGCTTCGATTTCTATCTGTGCACATCCAGCTAGCACCATAACCAACGGCAATAGTTGAATTTGGCTAATAAGAGGAGTCGACGGTATTCCGATTTCTTTTCCTCTTAAGTTTAGTGCTAGAATGCGATTTCCTTAATATCTTTCATTGTCAAAGAATGTGCGAGAAGAATATTAGCCTTTATCATTATTATTATTTCAAATGGCAGGCTTTATGATTTTTATCATTAACCCAAGTCAAATCAAATGCCGAGTGATAGACTTTTTTGCTAAAAACGAATGCCGAGTGATAGAATTTTTGCCGTAAGAAAGTACGTTGCCCAGGGTGCACCACGTGGAGGTAAGTCTATCGTACGTTGTCCAGGGTGCACCACGTGGAGGTAAGTCTATCGCGCACCCCACCCCTATCATTGTGTACCTAGCCGATCTAATTCTCTTGTACTATGAGACGGGTTCTATTGCTCCTTAGGTCGTGTGGATTAATTTTTGTAATTACGAGATTCTCTTTAAACATTCATTTCATGCTTTAATTCGGTTCCTTAATCTTAAATCTCATTTTTTCTTTATTAGACAGGGTTAGTAGCAAAGTCTCCAACTTCCCCATATGTTTGGATGACTCCGATCCAGTGGCCTATCACGAGAATGCGCAACAGCCAGAACACCTGGTTCCCATCCGGTTAGATATTGAATTTGATGGTGTGAAACTACGTGACTGTTTCACTTGGAACCGGACTGAGCAACTCATTACTCCTGAACAGTTTGCCGAAATCCTCTGTGATGATCTAGATTTGAATCCAATCTCGTTTGTCCCAGCTATTGCACAGGCTATTCGTCAGCAGGTACTTTTTTATGCTGATTCCTTCTTTGCCCCAACACCTATTACTTAAAAAAGGGTTATTATATTCGGTTGGAAGATAATGACTAATGAAGTTAGTATAAATTTTACAGTGAGGTTTTAATTATGAAATAGGTTGCGAAATTGTCTATGACGGTCCAAATTTGTCTTGCTCATTGCTTTAGTCGAATTGGCAGCGTTTCGTCATATATATTTTTCTGTCCAATCGAATATGCGCTTCTTCAAGAATTTCTCGCATCATTAATTAATATCAAGGTTCAGTAGACGACATTTTGTTCTGAAAGATCATGATTTGAATCCAGTTAAACTGAGTCATGTCTAGTATCTAAACTATCCTACTGATAAGTTTTCAGTGGCGTTTATTGTAAACTTTCAGCGCAAAGACATCACCGGCTAATTTGTTATATGATTTATCCTATATTTTTATTTCCTCTCTTTTTACTTCCAGGTGGCGGGTCACCCTGTGGAAAACATCCTCTCTAATCAAACAGATACTCGGGTTATTGTCCGTCTCAATATTCACGTGGGCAACATGTCGCTTGTAGACCAATTTGAATGGGACCTCTCTGAGCCTGCAAATTCACCTGAACAATTCGCTGGACGCCTGTGTGCTGAACTCGGTCTGGGCGGTGAATTCGTTACTGCTGTTGCTTATTCCATTCGTGGCCAACTCGCATGGCATCAACGACTGTACGCATTTACGTAAGTTATCTAACCATTCGTTTGCATTTTCCTAATTTGGAAGATCATCACCAATCGTCATGCTATAAGGCATCATTTGTGATTCATTTTTCTTGGCACAACGTATATGAATGATGGTTTTAATTTTAAACGATGCGTATTGTACGCAATCACCCTTAACACATCTGTATGAATACATCCAAGCGTTTATAGTCCAGTTCATGGCCTACTGGCCTGTTAATTTGTTTCCATAGTTTTTTCCATATTGTTTTTTTATTTGTATCTGCTTTAGCAGTTAGTCTTGAAATGATTTTTTGATGTCATTTTGTCTAAAAAGTGGATCACACTGGCTATACTTAATATGTGGTTCAGCATGCACTTGTGCTCTTTTTTACGATTTACCTATTGATTTTCTGTACTTTTAAGAGAGTCACCCTTGCCAACCATTGACGTCGTATTTCGCAGTCCAAATGAAGCTGATCAATGGAGTCCTGTAGTTGAAGTGCTTACCGATGCTGAAATGGAAAAGAAGATCCGTGATCAGGATCGTAACACACGGTGGGTTATTAGCCCTATCTTCATTTTCATACTTTAAAACCTTCGTTTTTACGAATTTCGTTGCCTCCTTCTAGACGTATGCGTCGATTGGCCAATACCCAACCTGGTTGGTAATTACTTGGATAAAGATCTTATTCACTGTCCGATTTTGTTTAATCATCTCATGTTAACATGTATTTGTCCCGCCCTAATTGTTGTATTAAAATAATAATTTTACTCTTGCCTATCTTTTTTCGTTTAAATGGTCGTTTACACCTTTCATAGAAGCCTCGAAAAAGGCTGTTGTAGATGATTCATACTGTAGAGGGATTTATTGCACGGTATCAGAGATACGACCTAAATAGCTACATTTATCGATAAAGGAAATTGATGTTTGGTGAAAGAGGAATTGCTATTTGGATGCTGAATCCATCTGGTAATTATTTCCTTCATTTACTTGAGAACCAAGTGTGCGGGTGCCGGTGTCATGGACTGTTTCCTCGATGCGGAGTGGCTTACGTACCGATATGCTTTATTGTCCCATTGGAGGCAGTTTAATGATTAACACGTTGCAGAATAAGATTCTATCTTCGGAAAATTTGGTGATCTCAGGGACCGGATATATTATGGAAGCGATTCTCGGGCTACCCAAATTTATCAGGTATTGCTTGAATTACTTTTGCTAATAAGTTCGCTTAAATGCTAGCCCTGAAGTAAAATAATAATCATTTCTCATATTGTCATGGCTATTAATAAGGAAACTGTTTTGACTGCAACTATTTGAGGGTGTTGTGGATGCTGCAAAAATAAACGCATTTTTAAATCTTGGTAAACATCTTAGAATCCTAACTAATTGCAGGCAAATCCAATTAGCTTCCTGCCTAAGTATGTTCCAGAAATCAGCTGTACATAGTCCAGAGCGTCTATTTCTACGTCGCAAGACTTCTGAGGGGTTTTACCACAGAACATAATCAATGCTCTTCCAAGTCGTGGAAACTTGGCTGCTGATTGGCCCCTGGACACACCCCACAAATATCTTATTGCGCACAACTTTCCTCTGGGCAGCCTTGATAGCATTATACTTTCTACAGAAGGATTGGGGGGGGGGGGTTGGGAAACATGGATAACAACTACAACGCAAAGCATATATATAAGGGACGAATGCACAAGGATGGTATTTTCAAAAAAACTAACGTTTAATTTTGTATCTTTATGGTCACCTTATTCAATGGTTGGTTCGAATTCGGTATGGGGGTATAGGAGAGCCCTGAAGAGTTTTTGAAATCCGTCATTTCCATTATCTAAGAATTGTATCTGCTAATAACAAAATAGCAATACGTATCTCAGTAGCATGTTCCAGCTAACTGTTCTATAATACTGCAGATTGGCGAGACGCCAGTTAAGCACATGTCTTCTACGATCGGAAAACTTAG